ATGGTCTAATGAGTCTCGAGGCTCATCACAGATTGCACTTACCACTATCCTGCTGGCCCTGGCTATCAGAGCAAGGGGTACCAACTTTTGAAAAGGATAATAGGGGTATGGAGATCTGTCAAAGCAACGTTTTGAACAAAACGAAGAAGTGAAATTCTCATTCAACAAGTGCCGACCTGATCAGCCATCCTCGAATCATCGCTTGCTTCTGCTTATATATACATATTTTAAATCAGCGCGTCGCATTCTAAGGTTTTTTAAAAAAAAACCAAGTAACGCAGACTCTTGGTATTCATTACACATAAACTAGAGACCCCCAGAATGAGAAAAAACTTTAAATCATAATTATTGACGGATAAATAAACTTTCTACACGCTTTGGAAAATCTCAGAAGTTCGCGGTAGTCACTTTTCGGTAAGGAACTAAGGGACTCGGTTATTGTATCGAGTGGGGGGTCGAAACGATCGCAAAGGCGGTATACTACGTATACGCGCCAAAAAAACAAGCAAACCCTCATTCTTCCAAGACATTAAACATTTTCATCCAAAAACGTCGTAAGCAATTGTCGTTTGTATTTACATGTGCACCAATTAACTTTGAGTCTCAAGTGGTAAGTGGACCAAAACTTTCCTTTCGAAAAAACGCGTGGACGTAAACTATATTGGAGAAAATAGGTGCGCGGACAAAAAATCGTTGACGAAATGTCCTATAACAGCTCTGGTTTCAGGGCATTCCCCCCAGCTCTCCCATTTACATTTTGACTCAATGTACTTTATGTGTTTCTGACGTATGATTCGTGTGCAGAATTTGGTTTGGTATATAAAGAATTAAAGGAAAAAAGGGTTTAGAATCGTTTGAAGTTTTTGCAGTCGGCGAAATTTTTTGTTCATTTATGTAGTTTCCCTTCCAGCAACTAAAAAAAAGTGGGCGATGATGCGAACGTATAATTTTAACAGTGCGTGATATACACTGTATGGAGTGATTTTATACATTTATGATGTGCTCGACATGAGTTTTGAGGGGTCCTACCTGAAATGAAATACTCAGTTCATTGCATTTTTCACATGCAACAGACCCATTCAGTTTTAAATTTTTATCATGGGCTTCAATTTTGTTCAATTCCATGAGAATACCGCCGTGCTAAGGAAGAACGCCATATGAACATTCGAGAGTTGCCAAATTTCCCTTGATAAACAATGTATTTTTGACGACATTCGTGCATCTTTTCTTTGAAATTTACATATATTTTATATTAAATTGCGTACAAAATTGCTTAAAAATGTTGGAAAGGATTATTCACAATTTTCCCAGTAAATTCGGTTTTCAACGAATGAAATTTGGCAACAACCAACGGTTCATACGGCGTTCTTCTTTTTCACGGCAGAATAGCACACTGACGTTTCACTCATGTTGACTGCTTGATTTTAGAGACTTCTCGTTCACGATTCCAGTCCTTCCTTCAGCGGCACCTCAAACGAAGCTCAAACAGTTCCGGAAGACACATTTGATGGTACATTGTACAAGTCCATAAGCCCGCAGCTCTGTTTTCGTCTTGAACTTCGCCTCAACATCGGGGTCGAAGTCCATTGTGAGATCATCATCATCCCTGAATGCGAGAAGATTTGGATCTACAAAAAAATAGACGTCATCTTTGGATTTGGATGTGATGGGCTCCGTTGTAGGGTTAGCGGACCGCTCATCGTTAATCGTTTCGTTACCAACCGATGGAGACATTTTTGGAGGAGTGTTGTCCTTGCGGAGGGCAGACGTGAGCCCTTGTAACCCCTTCTCGGTTGTCACCGATGGGGTAGTATCATTAATATGATTGGCATTCCTCCGAAGAGCGAGAATGCGATGCATCAACTCCTCGGAATCGGTCAATTTGGTCGTTGGGGGTTGATCTCCACTGTTGTTGTGTACCCCCTTGGCTCTTGCATAAACGCCTTCATCTTTGTGCCCTACGTGTTCGTTATCATCGGGTAATTCCTCGATTATTGCCGGCCATACTTTATTTGGCTTTGAGGGTTTGGATGGCTTTATCGGCTGTGAAGGCTGCGTCAGTTGTGACGGCTGTATCGGCTGTGCAGGCTGCGTCGGCTGTGAAGGCTGTATCGGCTGTGCAGGCTGAATCGGCTGTGAAGGCTGTATCGGCTGTCCAGGCTGTATCGGTTGGATTGGTTGCACTGGAATACATGGCTGCATCTGGTTGTACGAGTATATCTGTATTGGTTGTATTGGCTTGCATGGCTCACATGATTGTTCTGCCTGCGTGGGTTGGCATGGCTCGCATGGCTCACATGGCTGTATTGGCTTGCATGGTTCGCATGACTGTGCTGCCTGTGTGTGTTGGCATGGCTCGCATGGCTCGCATGCCGGCGTTGGCCGCATTGACTTGGGTAACTCGCATGTCTGTGTCGGCTGTATTGGTGTAGACGACTCGCGTGTTTGTGTGGGCGGTATTGGCTTCCCTGGATCTGTTGGTCTCGATGGATTTGTCGGATTTGGTTTCGGTTTAAACATCCACTTCAAGCATTTGCCGAGGCAGTTCACGCATTGGTAGCCTCTTTCGGGGGTGGGCGGGGGGATGTCACCTGGAGTATGTGGAACTTGCTGAAAAACGAAAGAAACTCTCGTGAAACATGGGATAAGCAAAGCCGAGACTTTGAACAGGTGAATGGCTTTTCGATGGTGAAACCCCCAAGCCACGTATCTCGTTTGCGGTGTTCAAAAATCTCCGCTCTTATTTCATTGTTCTGAAGGAGAACATCTCAACATCAATCCTTGAAGTTTTCAAAGAATTTTCTTCGCACACTTACAAGAAATCACGGAAGTTATTGAGAATTGACGTTAGTTTTCCATTTAAAAACTGAAGTATGGCTGGAAGTCTCCAACGTCGCAAACTGAGATACGTGGTTTGGTAGTTTCACCGTCGTTTTGTTGTGCTCGAGAGATACAGGCAAGTAAAAGTATTTGCCTTGGTTAAACTCACACAAAAACTACAATTGGCATTTAAATATTGCCTTAAATCTACTCGTTAGCGCTCAGTTTGTGTTTTTTACACGCTTTTCCAAATTTTCCGGTCCACTGTCATCGGCAACCAGGTTATAGCTAGAGGCCTGATTATTGACACTGATAGACAAAGCGAAAGAGAAAGAAGACATGAGGAGGATGAGGCGATACTATTGGTTGAAGTGGGCGGTTCCTGTAGCCTAATGGAGAAAATGATGGACTAACTGTCGGATCTCTAGTGAGATGCCGTTAGTTAGTCTATTACCAACCTCGTTTGTCAATTGCAACCACTCGCTTTCATCAATAGGATCCCTACATATCTCTTTTGTCTTCTTTGTCTATAGCTTTGTCTATCAATTTCAATAATCGGCCAGCAGCCAAGTTAAGGAAGTTTGACTTAAATCAATACTTAATATTAACATCGAAGGAAATCATCAGCCATACATATTAGGAATATACAGGAATATACAATATACAGGAACCGTATATTGTAAATACTGCCTTTCGTACTTTGAACGGAATAAACCTAATAAATGCTCTAAAATATAAGGAAAAAAGGTACTCAACTATCCAGTTTAAACTATTAAAAGGTACTCGTCCAGTCTACAAATCATCGCTCCTCTGTCGTAAGGCCGTAATCTCGATTTCCACCAGAGGTGAGGGCCGGTGACGTTACAATACATTCGAATAAATGTCGGAAAATTGAGAAAGTCGCGATAAAAATAAAAAATGGTTTGCTCTATCGGAACATTAGGCAACGCTGGAATTGAGCTCATTGTCAGATGTGAGAGAAGCAAACAAAGCTTTAGCTAACGTCGCATGCAAAGATATTAAACGAATTTCATTATAATGCATGGATGCAACTATTCGGGCTCCATTGATGACCGTGTTGCATACGCAAGGAAATTAAGGCGTTTCGACTCCAGGTACTGAACACCTCACCAGCGACGATAAATGGAGCGAATTTGAAAAAGCGTGTCACAAATTATGCAGATTACATGCCAAGATGTAGATTTTGGACGTTTTAGGGTTGTTAAGTGAGATTTTACCTGGAAAAGTCTGTTTGTTTGGCTGCATATCAGGCATGCTTTACCAAGTTTTTTTACCGCTACCAAGAGGTAACTTTTTTCACATTTCAATCTATTTTTTGCCCGATAATGAATGATGAATGTCCGGGTTAGCACTTTTAAGCGAGTTTTAGCAAATTAGGTTACGATTGCTGAACTGTGTTCAACTGTTCAACTCTTTTGCCAAAACCACCATTCGGCGAATCTGAACGTTGAAATCCGAAAGTATCTTTTAAAGCGAATTTTCGCGACTGGATTCGGTTAATTTTTTTGATAAATGACTGTTATGTCACCGATGGAATTTGGACCAATCAGAATCGAGTATCTAATTTTCAACCAAATCCTGAAGAGAACGAGCCACATCCCGGATTAGGTTCAAGAGAGCGCGTCAATTGGACGTATTTCTGCCAAACAGAACTATGTACATAATGACGTGAGCCCTATTATACGCATATTCTTGGGGGTCTCAGGGGTCATGTCTCAATGCACATAGTTTTGTTTGGCAGAAATACGTCCAATTGGCCATTGAAACACGACTTATTCTACGATATAAAATATCATACCAATTATAATACAAATACACAAAAATATGAGCACTTTTTAAACATGAAAAAGATGAAAAAATATACCGAAACACGCATATTGTTGTACTTTTTAAACATTCATCATCAACACCTCACCGCGGTTGCTGTTTTTGTCGCACAGAATACCATCATTCTGGAAAAATTGGTTAGATTCTATTAGATTTTGGTCAAAAAAGTCAACCAAATCCACTCGCGAAAATTCGTCTCATCACAACAAATAATATAGAGGCGAGCCGTCTTTGAAATTGATTGTCTATGACGATGAGGAGGAAGATTTTAAAATACCGCAATTAAGTCACGCGTTTTGAAGTTTCACCATCGAAACACTACAGAATATTTTGAAAAGGAATTCGAATAAAATTACCGTCAACGCTAGGGCGACCAAAAGCAAAAATGTGACGATTGACGCACTCACTCCCGGGTGCATCTTCACGGCACGTCGACGGGAACCACAAACGTGGGCACCGAAAGACGTAACCAAATTTGATCCGTCGATCCGCTTTACGATCCATAAAATCTTCAATCGTTCCGTGGCAAGTTAACCCCCCCTCAGTCACCGCCAACGTTTGATTCATGATTGCGGCGCGTAGTTGATATCCTTCTCTGATTCGATTCGTAGGTCAGTTATAGACTGCTTAGTGGGTACGTCATTCAAAATTCGATATTAGTGGGCTACACCCCTTGGTCGCTAGGCGGCTCGCACTGAAAAAAAATTCTCGGCGTTTTTACCAAGGTCCGTCGGTATACCGTCACCATCTCACTTATTTTACCAATTATTGATAATTTTACCAAGACAGACTGGTAAGCTTACCTAAAAACCGGTATTTTCACTGTTTTTTTTTCAGGTAAGAATACCACTTTTATTAGTAATCAATTCCCGGTAACTTTGCCATTTTATCTCGGTAATTCTGCCGCAGTCGAAAAAAAATATTGACGTTTTTACCAAGGTCCAGTAAAATTACCGAGAATGTTCAAAAATTTTACCGAGATTTCTCGGTAAAATTACCAATTCTATAAATGGTAACTTTACCAAGAAAAAACTGGGATCAAATAGAACCTTGAATTCTTGGTAATTTTACCCTTTTCTGAGTAAATACACCGAGATTTTTTCTTCAGTGTGTGCTTGTCAGTCGAGGGCATCCTGTGACTGTGCAACTTTTCCTGGCCAAAACAGCTGACTCAATTTTCCGACTGAAAAGTGGTTTTAATTTTATAACGAGCCAAAAAAAGCTGTGCTTTATCAATCCGGGAGGTAGACTTACGTAATTTTTTGTATAATTTTCAATGAAACAAGTAAAAATAGTCTAAACCCATTTTTAATGGGTCACTGTAGGCATTTTTAACGATTTTTGGTTTTTTCTTTTTTTTTTGCAATTTGTTATACTTATGACTAGCGAACGGTTAGTTTTACAACAAAACGATCGCAGATGCAAAAAGAGCGCAAAAAATCCGTAAAAGATGGATGGTTCGATTTTTTCTCAGCTCAAACTATCAACACGAGAAACAGCCCCAAACTTAAGAAAACCAAAGAAACTGCATTTTCCATGACTAATTAGCCTCCATTGCAATTTTGCCACATCACCAAAATCTAATAGATTGAAGTAGCATTAGCACATGTACTGATTTGACGATTAGTCTGTTATATTATCGAGGGGAAAAAATTACATTCCTCCTTAAAGCACGTATTCGTCCTAGTACCAGGAACTCGATATCCATACCGACATTGACCTCTTGGCATTTTAATTGAGAGTGAGGGGCGAGGGAGTCGGTCTGCGGCGAAAGTTTGCCGATTCATGTGAGAAATGACCCACAAGACCATCCTTGCACGCAATCCTGCCGTGCTGAAGAAGAACACCGTTTGAACTTTAGACTGCTGCCAGATTTCCTTTGAGGGAATCGACTTTTCCGGAAATTTTGTTGGTAAAAATTTTCCAATCGTCCAGAGAATTTCATCCGCTTATCAGTCTGGAGTATATCAAAATATGGAACAAAAAGGCTCATAAAATTACTCGAAAATAAATATTTAATACAGGGAAATTTCGCAACCTCCGTATGGTAGATGTCGTTTTTTCTTAGTACGGCAGTAGCGGTAAATACATCGCACACGAGAATATGACGTTAGAGATTTACTTTGGATGTAGGTATCAGGGATGTATTCCTCTCAAGGTTACGCCTGAGTCCAAGAAACAGAACCCGCCCTTTCTCCTCGCTCTAAAAAAATCCCTTGATCCGCTGATGTTGCTAAATTTCTTTTGGCAAAACGTTTATTTCTGGGTAAAGTTATGAATAAATTCCTTTCAGGTTTTTGACGTGGTTTCATTGATTTTCTCCTAAAATTTTCTTCAAGAGGCACCCCATATAATTTTTAATGTGAAGGAATTTACATCACAATTCGCAGTTCGGAGTATAAATTAAATTCTATAGATAAAGAAAAACCTTAATCTGCAGATGTTGCAAAAAATCTCCTGGCAAAACGTTTAGTTCTGGGTAAAGTTATGAATAAATTCCTTGTAGGTTTTAAACTTGCTTCCATTTATTTTCTCCTAAAATTTTCTTCAATAGGCACCCCATACAATCTTTAATGTGAAGGAATTGACAGCTCGGAGTAATATTAAATTTTACAGGAAGGAAAAACCTTAATCCGCTGATGTTGCAAACTTTCCTCTGGTGAAACGTTTATTTCTAAGTAAAGTTATGAATAAATTCCCTTGATTTATTTAGATACACTGGTTTAAATCAATGTGCCACGCGCAAGAGAAACAGATAACTGGGTATACATTTTACGGCTGAATTCGCGCGAAAATCATGCTGGGCACTTGAAAAAGGCTGAAATATGCTCTTAAAAAGCAATCTGCATAGTTTGTACCACGCTGGTAAAGAGTGAGAAAGAACTACCCAAAATTAACAAACCATTAACTAACTTATTCTAGAGTCCCTTTATCCTGAGAGTAAAGACAACCCTCCCTCCCCCCTTTAAGGAGTCACAAACGAGAATACAGATTACACAAATGAAAAGTTTTTCGTAATCTTTGATCGGCCGATTCTCAAATTCCTTTCTCCGTTCCTTCTCTCACTCCGTTTGTTCCTTGCCGAACCCGTAATTCTCCGGTCCATTCCAGATTATAATCTTTGCAATTGGTAAAAATGTAATCTTTATTCTCGTTTGTGACACTTTAGAGACCTAAAATACGGGAACCAATCAGAAATGAATTCACATTGTCTTAACTCTCAGTATAAAGGGACTCTAACTTGTTCTATTGTATGATTTCATTTCAAGCGTTTGTTTCCTTTTTCTTTTTTCATTTTGCAAAAAAAAAAAAAAAAAACAAAAAAACGTTGAATCAATTAAAATCTTACGCAAGGAGCGTTTATTACAGTTCGCGAGATTGTTTGTTAATTTAGGTTAGGTCTCCTCTCCAGGCCGACCTGACTGCTGGCCATCAAAGAAAATTGCCTGCATATGCTGTAAATTTGGAAAATCTCGTACAAACTACGCAAATTTTACGCTAAGGAGTGGATTTCAAACTTTTTTGGTGTGCTCAATGTGATTTGCGAGCGTATTTACCCTAAGAAAGTGTAAATTCAGTTGGCTGTATTTCTTGCGTGCATCAGAGCCATTAGAAATCTACACGGTGAGTATGTCGATTGAATAATGCAGTTTTCGATGCGTGATTCTTTCCGAACTAAACAAGACATCTAACCCCTGATGACATGTGTTACGGCCTCTTTCATCGCACTTATTTCACTTCTTTTCCTCGTGGCTGCCACTCATGAAATATGAAAATAGACTCTTCGAACTTGACCTTAACCTGATTGAATATGCACAATCAATATTGTGATACACGCTTATTCTTAGGGAAAATCAATATATTGTTGAATATATTTTCACTTTTTCCTGTTTTCTGGAAAGCAGAGAAGTCATTATGGGTTTGTAAGAGACTTTAACGTTGAGTTTAGGGCCGAAAATTACGCTTTGCAGTTTATAATTGCGCAAAATCACTACCTCATGAGTAAGGTGTGAATTCGCAATGCTCCGCTCTATGCTGCCAATGACGTGTCGTCCGACTTCGGGTGAAAATTTAAAGAACAAGGCCCGATTTTGTTTTCCCCGTCTCTGTTTGTTGCTAAAGTAGCCATTGAAGCATCACCACAAAACAACACTGGCGAAAAAAAAAACACATTGGTCTGGAGTCCAGACTATTGAAAACATTGTAAGAAAAAGGAATCTTGATTCAATCAGATTTAAGCTTAAATCAAAAGGAAATCCGCTCAAATTAAGAGGCTTGGTTCTTGATTTAAGCTTAAATCTGATTGAATCAAGAGTATTTTTTCTTGTCGATGTTTTTAAGAGTCTGGACTCTAGATCCAATGTGTTTTTTTCCCAGTGAAGGCAAACGGATCCAGCACAACATGGAAATAGACCGAGAGAAATGATGCGCGCTGATGACGGCACAGAGATACAACTATTCGTACTTGATGGATGCCCGGGTTGCGTTTGCAAAATTGGAGGCGCTATGGCGATGCGTAAACTCGCACTGCTCCAATCTATGCTGCTAATGAGAGGTCGTTCAAATCCTTGAAAAACATTGAACAACCGAGGCCGAATTATGTATCTCCTGCAGTCCTCGGCCGTATTGACACTCACTTTCTTTTTTTATTTTAAGCGTGCCAGTAGGGCTCGCTTTTTGAAATCACTCGGATGTACCATAGTACAGCACACCGATCAACCAATGCTATTCAACGGGCCGTCTAAATATTTTTTTCCTCGGACCCGTTTTCTTGTCTTTGAACCATTATACTGTCAAGCCCTGATGGTCTCTTACCAAAAAACCGAATGAACTGCTAATTGGGAACCCTTGAGAACATACAAAAACCTCATAGAAGCTTTCTTACGCTCGGAGGACTCAACTCTAGAACCTTCTTTCCCGCCAAAACTGTTTAGCCAATGAGCGTCTTGCACTGCAAGTGCAATCTGTGATGAACCTCGTGACTCTTTATACCATGTACTAACCGTGGCCCCTGCAGAAATCCACTCAAACCACTGCAGTTATCTCCCGATATAGCTTTGGGTGTCAGGTTTCGAGCAAGGCAATAAAAGACGGCGAGGAGAGGGTCGCCTCGTCGAACCTATTATCTTCCACGCCCGATTAACCATTCACCGTGACGCCAGGATCCACCAAATTTTCACAAAAATTGTCTTCCGTCTATTTAGCGAATTTTTCCTTACTTTCCGTTAAAGTACAAATAAAAAGAGACCTCATTTGTAAAAATCGGCCGAATAGGAGAGAAGTTCCAGTTCGAAATCCAAAGAGATTAACTGAACGCGATTTCGATGCACGGCAGTTCGCCCAAATCACGGTCGTGCGAAATGCCGCATATCAGCTTAAAATCAAGATAATTGGACGGAATCTTTAAAATCAATTTACATTCAACGTTCATGAATCAATATTTTCTCCCAAATTTAGCAAAAAGTACCAATTGATGCAAATAACAAAGACGTGAAAATAGTAGGTATGTGTCCAACATTTTAGTTATTCGGCACGCTTTTCCAACATATTCATGTTGGATTTTTCTGCTTGTTTTTATTTCAATTTGATGCCGGATTCTTTTTTTTAGGATGTTTTTCTAGATCTATATCTAAATCTCTTACGCGCTGGCACCATAACTCCCGTGGTAAAGATAGTCAGGCCAATTTGACCCAGCTCGGGATTTCTAGGGGTCGTTGTCAAACACCATTCCCTACACTCAATTTTTTTCTTTTTGTTTAATTTAATGTCTGCTTTTAATTTTACTATGGATCTTAAGCATAGAGTACATAGAATCGTAATGTAAATGGGAGAGCTGGCGCCATGTTCTGCTCGACGAGTTCCGAGCCCGGTGTGCGCCGAGTTCGGGTCACTTTTTCGATATATGTTCGATCCAAAATGGCGGTGTGGAATACGTGGTGATTCCTATCTTCTTTGTTTACATTGGATGACCGGGTACCCGTGTATCGCGAACAATCGATTATGTATCGAAAAAGTAACTCGGCGTCACACAGGAGTCTCGGAATTCGGGACCTGGAAAATGCTTAAAAGTGGCGCCAACTCACCCACTTACATTACGACTCTATGTACTCTATGATCTTAGGGTGATACATATTAGCCCCTTATAGCTCGCGGGCCACGTGTTTTTAGCAAGCCTCGGGTCGATTTGACCCACAGCCTCGGCATTTAAGGGTTGAAAATCAGATGAAAACACTTTAATTTATTTTTTATTGATCGAAAATGACAGGAGAAATAGAAAATTCATGATCATTTAATCGAAATACAAGCTTTTAGGTTACGTATGATGTATCCTCTGGTTAATTTTTAGGTGAATCATACTTTCACTCTAAACAAGGAAAATACATTTTGAAAAACATCCAAGAGTGACATGAGTTTGCCTATCCGAATGTCAAATGTACCTTCGGTGCTAAGTGCGAACAAAAACGCTGATGGAGTGTTTGCATTTTACAGGAATTTGCGATTTAAGTACAGCGAGTTTGTCACGTAAAATAGCATGGGGAAATATACGGCGGTGCCACTGATTTTTTTGCACAAACTTCCCAACTAAAAAAAGCCTTCAAAGTTGAAGCCGTAATGGAGGGGACCTCCTACGGTATCCTTAGGGTCTACATCTATTTCCAGTCCAACCCGGCCTCCATGCACAGATAGAAAGCAAATACATCAGCAGGGTTGCCGTTGCTGCAGTAGCGGGCCGATATATTGAACGTTTAAAGTAAAGTAACTCGATAAGACATCGAAATGCGATACATTGCATCGTTAAGATAGTGCTATTTCTCGTCAATACTTTGTCTTCCAGAGAAGAAACGTAACTTTATTCCAAGATTGCCAAATTGACTCCAACAAATAATTAATTTTACAAAAATATACCTGCGCAAATTAGGTCAAAATTCGTCTGATTCCTACATGAAATCCGAGAGATAATTATAGTGAAATTTTTTTAGAAACGCCCAGAATTCTCCTTGTTAGTATGCAATTTGCGATGGGAAATTTGGCAACATTGAAATGGAGTTACGCTCTTTCGTGGGGGACACAACAAATAATCGGCCCACTGGCGCGGCGTCCCTACAAAGTTACAATCCTGCCAATGAATTTGCTCCCAATCTATGGATTGAAAAATGCATTACATCTTACGAAATTCCTATAGTAAGAATAGCCTGAACTTTTAGGGTTCTTTGAGCTTGGGAGTTGGGGCTGCGTCTCTCTTGGAGGGTTGTGCGAAAACCAGCGACACCATCGTATTTTTGCGAAATATCAAAAAGAAGAATTACTTAGATCAGAAATTCCTTTGGCATACAGGAGCTCCATTACTCAGCATTAAGATTATTTAATATTTTATATTCAATCTGACAACTGAGTAATGCCGAGGATAGGTCACTCAAATATTAAAGCAAACAATTTTCCTAGGAGCGGCTTGTGCTCCAGTTTAGCGAGACGTAGTTTATGGAGTGGCGTATCGGCATTTTTTGCGATGATTTCGCGTCGGTCTCCTTTTGCAAAGGAAGGAATTTCAGTTTTTGTGTTTCCAATTTTCATGAAATCCGAAATTAATGGAAAACGACGGAAAAAATAAATTTCATGCCATAGCTAACACTTTCATAATTTAAATATACATCAAATTATAGGTGACCTTATCACGTTTCACTTGCGTTCACCTTGACCTTAGGTTTAATAAAACTCAGCTTTGACCCTGAAAGTGATAAAGGAGGACAATAACCTGCAATCTGCGGACTGACTATTGAAATTGATGGACAAAGCTATAGACAAACAAGGCATAGGGAGTTTGGAGCAATCCTATTGATTGAACTGGATGGCTCCTATGGACAAAGGAAGAAATTGATAGACTAACTGTCGGGTCTCTCGTGGGTTGCCATTAGTCAGTCTAGTGCACCAATAAGATCTCTTGATATCTCTTTTCTCTCCTTTGTCTATAACTTTGTCTATCAATCTTAATAATCGGCCCGCTGTAGGGGTTTTTTTGTGGCATAGCCAATGGTGGACTTAGGAAGAATTGGTCGTTTCCCTCACGAAAAAACGTAAATTCATTTCAAATGTTCAATGTTTCAAATGTTTCAATGTTGCCATATTTCCCCTCGCAAAATGCATATTAACTAGGAGAATCTTTGGCATTCCTGATTGAAAATTTCGCTGATTTTTCCTCAGTTTTCAAGCAAAAATCAGAAAATTTTTTAGAAAAATTGCACGGGTACACCGTTGTAAAATAAATAAATTGTTTGAGTCAATTTTGTAATATTGCACTGAAGTTACGTTCCTTCGTGCGGAAGACGACGCTGGGTTAAATTCAGTTAAATTGCACGCTAAACGTCACTGACTGTCTCAGCATTATGAAAATATGGCAACCTCAACTTGACGCTTCTGCTAAGCTTTAGCAAGCTGTACATTTTTTGAACAATACAGGGTGGGAAAAAAACAATGCTCGATTGAGTAGTCTGCTAAAGCCGTTGCAGTGGCCGATTTGACTCGCGTAGGATATTATTTTTTTGTGTCCGAGCAATTCAAATTCCCCGTGACCACTGTGCAATGTAATCGTTAATATCTTAGCCAGAAGTTGATTTCAGTAGTTTTCTAGGCTCGAATCGTGTTCTGTGTGAAATTATGGTGAAAAAGCTTGTAGCAGGGTGCCTACATTTATACCTTGTTGAATGGTCCATTCAATCTTAAAAAGAGAACATAGAGAACTTTCCTAACTTTTCTCGGAAAAAATGAGGCAACGTTGGAACGGCACACGGCGTCAAAACATCACATGGGCCTTTTAAGCCCCAGTATTCGATGCAGCGAATATTCTAACGCGAGTTCGAGTAATCGCGCTGAACATAGTGTGGCCGGTGTTAAACGCGCATTAGCGCCTGCAAGACTGCATGAATACTTCACGCACTGCGCCAAACAGTGCGGTCGGCCTGGCGCGCATATTAGCGCCTACAAGACTGCATGAATACTTCTCGCATTGCGCGCCCAGCACGGAGCGGGCTTTAATCGTTGTGATTTCTCAGATCGGAGGGAGATGAGGTCCAGATATAGTCGTTTTCGCGTGGAATGACTTGAGTTCTAAATTAATGAGAACACATTTTTTGTTGTGTTACAGGTGACGCACGGGAAGTGTCAACTTCCTCATTCTTCTATCTCTCTTCGTCTTGACAATAAGTTCTGCAAGAAAATGGTGTGACATGTCGGATGCCTACTCAAAACATGATGCCTTTTGGTTAATGATTGGCCATTTCTATTATGGTATTGTGGGCTACGCTGCTGATATTACATGGCGCTAGTTTGGCTGGTGAGTTATTTACATAATGTTTTTTATTATTATTTTCAATATGCCCGGACAGACCCAAAAGAAGGCATTCGGACGATGATATTAACTTTTACTGCAACCGATCCGTGAAAAAAAACGGGAGGGGTTAAGTCCCAATTTGGACATTTCCAATTAATTATGATAGTATCCCAATTAATTGTTGCAGTACCCCAATAAATTTAGATTACGAACCCAAATGTTGCGCTGCTACCAAAATTAATTGGAATGCCCATATCATCTTACAAATTGGGGTAGTGTCTCAATTTGAGAGGATAACACTTTTTCTCCGTGTCATTTTCCTGATATTTTAGATGCGGAATTTTCTGAGATATGAACATTATCATTATTAAAAAAGTCATTTAACTATATTTCCTAATGATTTTGAGTTGCTAATACCATTTTGACGGTGATACCCACGAACCACTTATCGCGGTCTGTGACGTCGCGGACTGCCTGTCATACTTTATTTTTTAAATGGAAAACCACGCAATGTTATTTCTTAAATCTTACATAATTTTTCTTCTCTTTGCAAAGCAGCTTCTGAGAAAATTTCAAGGAATGGTTCAGCTTTATTCTCCTTTAAAAAATAAAACAGGAGCGGAGATTTTCAAACACCGCAAACGAGATACGTAGTTGGTAGTTTCACCGTCCATTTGTTTTTAGTGTGGGAGACCGTATATTAAATAAGTTTATCTATTAATAATAAGTTTTACAGCACTGATACTTTTCTACCGTGCTAAGAAGGAACGCTGTATGAACATTCGAGAGTTGCCGAATTTCCCCGGATAAAACATCTACTCTTGAAGAAAGTTATGCGTACTTTTCCTTACAATTTTCCGAATATTTTAGTTTAAATTGGGAACAAAATTGTCTGAAAAATTGGAAGAAAATGTTCAGAATTTTCCCAGTAAATTCGTCGTTTATTAAAGGCAATATGGCAACGCATGGGGGCTCACATGGCGTTTTTTTCTCAGCACAGCAATTTTGCTGCTGTATGCGTGAGTAGATTGAAACAGGAATCTGATCTGAAACTGAATCCCAAACCAGAGGAAATTCATAATTATTATCTTTTTATGATGAAATAATGTTTCAGGTTCTATGCCAGCCTCAGGAGCTCCGGAAAACGTAACAATTGTGTTCCTCAGCCCCACTTCCGTCCGTATCTCTTGGACCATCACACTGGACAAAGTCGACAAGTATGACGTCACATACAAACCAACCGACGCCAGGTCAGTGATATTTCTGTCAAAAACAGCAGAAACCCGGGAGGATAAGCATGCCAAAAGTTTATTCCTCTGCACGGGTTTTTCTATTGACTGTCTTAAATCATCAAAGATCAGTATAATCCCAAGCGTACTGATATATTCGTGCCGTGCGGATCTTCCTTGTACCGCACGGATCGCATAAGGATCAAAAGTTTATGGGGAAAACGCTTCCCTATGTCGACTGCGGGCTGATTATTGAAACTAATAGACAAAGCGATAGACTGAGAAGACATAGGGAGGATTAGGGTGCGGCTTATATGATAAATTAAAAAGGATAAATATCCAAATTGACAAGGGACCCCGCCAAAACGTTCCAAATAATGTAAAAACAAACGTTGTAGAACAATTTTGCATTCTCTGTGTCAGCGTTATATAACTGTTCATATAAGAATACGTGATGAAAATAGGGAAATTTGAAACTGTGTAGTTAAGATACATGTTTCCGTATCATCGTCATCCATGAGCATAAAAGATCTCTCGCGTGTTCGCTGTCATTATGTGAATGGGTGGAAGCATATTGGTGCCGATAATCTACGAACGAATTTAATTTCCTGTTTATCTCCAGTTCAATCGAAGCACGTGCCAACAGGAACCGGTCGATATGACCGATGGAATTCAGTACTTTTACCTCTAATTTCATGTGAGCTTAGGTGAAGGTATGAAATAAACGAACCCAAGATGCGTGACTTCCTGTTGCGATAAAAAGGGCTTTTGGAGGTTGGAAAATGATGCCGTGAAAACCATAGCTTGATTAATTGTGTCTTTTTTCCTTGTCCTTTACAAATTGCACCCCAGTTTCAATATTACATGTAAGTTTCCCCTTCAACACCCGAATCTACCACCCACATTACTAGAATTGGAGATGACCCACCAAATCCGTCGTTTGCATTAGCACGGGTCTTAGAGATAAACATATACATGTTTGAAGTCGAAAACTTCGTATCTCACATTGCATCTTTGTAAGTCTCCGGTCAAAGAGCGACGCCAAGAATGGCACAATTTGGGCCAGAAGGGATTTTTCTGAAACTGGGCCCAAACGATACCTTATGATACCCTAAAACTCTGGTAAAAATTTTAGCTTGAGTATACGCACGGTTTTTGAGAAATGAGGGGGCAAAGTTGCCAAATCGCCATCATTCTGGACAGCATTTCTACAGCAAAAAGACGGGAAAAATGGACGAAAAAGTTACACCTTTGATGGGTTTCGGCTGTAAATGTTCTCATTGAGCTCCCAAGCATTAAACTGTGTTCAGTTTCAAAAATTTTGGTCGCACAGCGGTCCAAAATGGGGAGAAATCGTCGACAAATCAGGAATCTTTGTCAAATTTTTAGAAATGGAAGTAAAATTGTCGGTCTGCGGCAGTTTTAATGGCTATCAATGTTCTTATCGGTCCTCAATGCATGAAATTGTGTTCAGCTTCACAAATTTACATCGCACAGTGGTCAAAAATGGGGGAATTAGTGGTCAAATTAAGATCCTCTGTCAAACATTTTAAAAATGAAGGGAAACTGTTGGTCCCCAGTAGACTTTAGATCCCGGAAAAATTCTTTAAATTTTTTTTTTTACTATTTAAATCTTTTTTTCCTTCTTTTTTTAAATTTCTGAAAGTTTGCATATTTTATTTAGATAATACTACAAAGCCTATTCTTTAACAACGTTCTATAAACAATACAGTCTGACATGTAGTAATAATTAAAAAAATTGAAAACGTGAATTTTTCCGGGATCTAAAGTCTACTGGGGACCAACAGTTTCCCTTCATTTTTAAAATGTTTAACAGAGGATCTTAATTTGTCCACTAATTCCCCCATTTTTGACCACTGTGCGATGTAAATTTGTGAAGCTGAACACAATTTCATGCATTGAGGACCGATAAGAACATTGATAGCCATTAAAACTGCCGCAGACCGACAATTTTACTTCCATTTCTAAAAATTTGACAAAGATTCCTGATTTGTCGACGATTTCTCCCCATTTTGGATCGCTGTGCGACCAAAATTTTTGAAACTGAACACAGTTTAATGCTTGGGAGCCCAATGAGAACATTTACAGCCGAAACCCATCAAAGGTGTAACTTTTTCGTCCATTTTTCCCGTCTTTTTGCTGTAGAAATGCTGTCCAGAATGATGGCGATTTGGCAACTTTGCCCCCTCATTTCTCAAAAACCGTGCGTATACTCAAGCTAAAATTTTTACCAGAGTTTTAGGGTATCATAAGGTATCGTTTGGGCCCAGTTTCAGAAAAATCCCTTCTGGCCCAAATTGTGCCAAAAAACGCTCGTTTTTGGCGTCGCTCTTTTATTTATTTGCAAAGAACACTAACCAAGCGTTTGTATCGAAATTTTTTGTGGATTTTCTTCGATTCCTCTGTCAAATTCTCTCAAAATTGCAAATCAATAAGCATTATCATGTGAGATGTGGTCGGCTCTTGCTTCTCCTTTTATGAACATTGGGTCAGAGTTAGAATTTCCAGGAAAAAAGAAAAAAAAAACCGGGATGGTCCGGCGAGGGTCACATCTTCACCCTTTATTGAAAAAAAAAATGTCATATTCAATACAATCGACTTAAATACCGTTCTTCCAAGCGTTTGCATAAGTTCGCGGCGCAGGGTGGGGCGGGTGAGGGTGGCACGAGAAATTCCTCGAAAGAAAGTGTGCCGTGGAGGAAGTGGGTGCAGTCTGCCCCGACATCGGCTTGCTGCATAATTACAGTTTCCAGGCAACAGAATTTTCTATAAATAATGAATGAAATTCTCCGTTACGACCTCCGCCGGTCAATAGTCCTTGTCCGGAAATCCATGTTTCCTCACCCAGTCCTGATTATCGCCCTCGTATTAATACTGCCGTCCTAAGAAAGACGCCGTATGAGCCTTCAGACGTTGCCGAGTTTCCTCCGATAAAAACCGAAATCACCGAAAAAATCGTGAATATTAGTCTCCGAAATTTGCAGACATTTTTGTACGCAATTTAATCTAAAATATTCAAACACTTCGAGGAAAAACATGCATGAATGTTGTCAAAAAATACATGTTTTATCAAGGGAAATTTGGCAACTCTCGAATGTTCATACGGCGTTCTTTCTTAACGCGGCAGAATAACTCTCCCGAGTTGCCATGCGTGGGCACCGTTAAGAGATAGAGCACTAGACAGTTTTCGAAAGAAAGCACCGCAAGCACTTTTTCCTAGAATACCTATAAAGGGTGATCCTGCATGGGTTATACAACCAGACTGCAGGAGCGTGTTCTATGGGTCAAATTAAAATTTTTTGGTTGCATATAGTGACATTGTGACATTATGTGTTGTCCAAAAGGGGCCCTAGGTGAAGCAACACCCCCCCCCCCCCCCNGAGAGTCTTCGGAATTAAATTAAACCATAACGTATTTATGACAATGGGTGGGTGGTCAGGGGGTGTAGGGCTGCGTTACAGGGGCGTTACAACGGGGTGCGGAGGGTCAAAAAATCGGAAAAAGTGCGTTACGTAATATATAAACGGCCCCTTCGAAATGAACCAAGGAGTGGTAACCGAATATTTTCAAATGAGATCCTCTGATATCTCCTTTGTAATGAGAAGATCCGAGACTCATATTTGAAAAAGTTCGGTTGTATATTAAAGTTCGGTGTTCCATATCATCCCAACTATTTCAGTTTTCCAAACTGAACTTTCGGTTTATCAAACCGAACTTTTGGTTCGTTTAACCAAACTTGTGCGGTAAAGTGAACTTACGAACAAAGTTTGGTCATATATGCCGAACGCTCGGTTATACGAATCAACAGTTCAGTTTGACAAACTGAATATGTGGGATGATATGGAACACCGAACGTTCGGTTAACATGACCGAATTTTCTTTCAGTGCATTACCGTCAATAAAGAACTCAAGAATAATGGTCGCTTTATGGACACATGTATTTTACACATACTTTGAAAAATTAGGATGCCTTAATTTTTGGCAGAGATTCCTTGAAAACGACTGCAACTACAAATTTGCAAGAAATAACTACGATGTAAGTACAAAAGATGAGTAGAGTGAGGACTAGAGATATGATATCGAGGCAGAAATACTGAAAAAGGGTTGTATCAGCGGTTGCTGGCCTCAAGTGCGATGCCCCGCCATGTTTGGCCACATGCTCTATCCAAAAAACTGCTTGATCCATGCCTCGATCGGTGAAATCTTTGGACAAGGCCGAAAGCTTCTTCATGTTCTCGAAAAACCTGAAATTTTTCAGAGCGCATAGAATTAAATCTAGCATTTTTTTAGGACTACACAGCCGTGCAAAGGAAGAACGCCTTATGAGCATTTGAGAGTTGCCAAAATTCCTTTGCGAAAATGTTTCTTTTTTAGGAAAGTTATGAACATTTTTTCTTTAAATTCTCAGAATTTTTGGGTAAAATTGCGAACTAAAGCATCTGAAAAATTGGGTGGAAAATATTTATAAGTTTACTAGGAAATTCGAGTTTTATCAAAGAAAATTTGGCAACGCCTGAAGTTTCATACGACGTTTTTCCTTAGAACGGCAACACAGTGAGAGGAAAAAATAACACGAAAGTTCGATTAGTATTGGAAGAAGAAGGATTTCCAGCCCTCAGTTGATTCTGGATTTTTTCGGTTCAAAAATTTTTTCGGTGCTAAGTTAAACGTAAACTACACAGAAAAAATAATGAATTTGGGTCGGTCAGTGTTCCTCATTCTATACTGACCAACCATGACAAATGAACATAAATATTTTTCTCATAGAAGACCTGACTTTCTTTCCTCTGTAGAAGACCTAATGTATTTATCAGTTCATTTTTAGAAAAAAAACTATTTTTAGCGTGAATATAACATCGGCAAAATGCCAGTGAAAGGTCCATTTCAACTTTTTCCAAACAAAGGAACGTATAACTTCATTCTACGGTTGCAGAATCGACCACGTCAATTGCAACAAGGAATTGCAACATTAAATTCGAAGGAGGAAAAATTCTTAACCAAAATTTTTTACTCTTTTCGCCTGTGAAGAGAAGAAAATCCAGTGCAAATCAGTTAGATATATCTGTCAGTTTTTTTAGAAAAAATTAAATTTGTAAGTGGAAATGCAGCGTAGATATAAATTCACAATTTTTTGTTTGGAAGGAAAGAAAATACTAGCAAAAGGAACCGCTCGTTTTTCCTGTCATGATTTTGAAGTCAGATTTTTGTTCCAGCATTTTGAAAACGGACAAATATTAGACGCATTTCAACGAAAGAAACATCTGTATGAGACGTTTTGAAAACAGAGTATGTGGAATAGGTTAGGACAGGACTCACATTATTCTAAAGCTCTCAAGGTCAGGGTTAGAAGTTGACTTAATGAAATTGTCTTGAAATATTTAGGTATGAGATGAGTTTAATTTTAGGGGCAAACTTGCACTACGAACTTTACTCAAAGAAAATTAGAAAAACAAAGACCGAGCGCGCGTCCAGAATGAGAGGTCCTTCCGTCTAACTCTCCTTTCCTTCAGAATATCATTCAGGTACTCATTACCGAAAATAATTGTATCAGTAGCTGATTAGCGTTTTATAAGTATCTACATAGAGGTACAAATATCGACGGTGAAACTACCAGACCACGTATCTCGTTTGCGATTTTTAAAAATTTCCGCTCCTATTCTATTTGTTTGAAGGAGAACAAAATAATGCATTTTTTTGAAATTTTAATAGAGCTTCCTTCGTAAAGTGAGGAAAAAATAAGGTAGTTTTCAAGAATTAACGTAGAGTAGTTTTCCATTCAAAAAATTTAGTATGACTGGAAATCTACAGCGTCGCTAACCGAGATACGTGGTCTGGTACTTTCGCCGTCGATATGACACATTTAAATTAAAGCCCCAGCGAGCCGATTATTGAAACTGATAGACAAAGCGATAGACAAAGAAGACATAGGGGTATAGAACGATCCTTTTGGTTGCCATGGTTGGTTCTTATAGACTAAGGAAGAAAATGATGGACTACCTGTCGGGTCTTTGGTGGGTTGCCGTTAGTTAGTCCGTTACCTACCTCCTATGTCCATTGCCACCACCCGCTTCCACCAATAGGATCCCACCAAATCCCTTTTGTCGTCTTTGTCTATAGCTTTGTCTATCAGTTTCAATAATCGGCCAGCAGAATTCCATCTTATTACCTGGCATCGAACAGTACTGTTTCCAAGGCGGCTTTAATGTTATCGTAAGAATGGAGATCTTGCGGTCGCAATCGCACTCCTATCCCAGCGTCCACCATTTTTGCGACGTTGCAGCCTTGGTCACCAGACCAAGGGATTCCTACCAATGGCACGCCGTAATGCACAGCTTCTTGAAAACTTTGGAGTCCGCCTTGCGTGATGTAAACTTTCACTTTCGGGTGAGCTGGTGCACAAATCAAAAGGAATTTCTTCAGTTGGTCACGTTTTCCACCGTGGCACGCTGCGGCGCGGCAGGCGGGCCGCTAGCGGGAAACGCACATGGCGCCTACAAACCTAACAGGGATACTTCACGCGTTGCGCAATGCGTGAAATATCCCTGTTAGGTTTGTAGGCGCTAGTGCGTCGCCGCTCCGGTTTGTGTTAGGCTTTAATATTTAATCTGGTGGAGTCAGCGTTATTCAACTCATGATTTTGAAATGTTTGCACATCCTGTATGGATTATTCTCATTTTAATTGATAAAAAATATGTATTAAAGGAAAATATAATGTGTGTTTTGTAAATATTTAGGCGGTTCCGTATCAAACTTAATGATTTCCAAAGCACACGAATTTCTACACAATTTCTTATAGCCTTCTATAATCGATGGCGAAAATGCAACAGCCGCAGGCGATAAAGTGTAAAGCCCGGCGATAGGAACTATAGCCGGGCTGCATAATTTTTTATAGCTTCGTATAGCCCGGCCATATGATTTTCTCCGCATTCTACAGCCAGCTATATGATTTTCTGTAGTCTTCTTTAGTCGGCTATAAGAATTCCTATGGTATTTTGAAACGCAGCTCTTATCGCCAATTTTTACCAGGGTATTCTTAATTACACAAACTGCAATCTCACCTAGAATGCTGGTCTGTGGCATCCATTTTTGAGCTAAAATGTTATTTGATTGACTGGGAATTTTTCCATCTAATTCCCACTTCCACAAGACGCGGTAATCTGGATGCTCTGCGAAAAAGTTAATGAAGTTTGATCTTACTTCAGGCGGGAGGGATTTGCTCTTTATATTGCTTCCGAGACTGAAATAAATCACTCCTCTTTCTGCTCCATCTAGCCAGTCTTGAAGTTCCTGCGCATAAAAGCATGTTTCTTTGAGTACAAATCAATTATGAATCTTGAGGTATGTCGGAAACTTTCAAGGTGCGTGATACGTAAATATGCCCTCGCCGATTCCTTTGGCCGAAACGTAGCTTTTTCTTTCCCGCCATCAGAGCAGTGACGCGAAATTTGAATTTCCACAACTTTGCGGTCTCAACCGAAAAAAACACGGCCGTCTACTGTTCATAAAAATATACAAACAGTCACCTCACTATTAGTGAATAATATTTCTTTCTTAGCGAATTCACATGAATTCCTATCTCCGTTTCCTCTCTCATTCCATTTGTTCCTTGCCGGACCTCCCATTATCCGGTCCATTCCAGTTTATAATCTTTGCAATTGGTGGAAATATAATCTATATTCCCGTGTGTAACACTGTGAGGGCTTAAAATACGGGAACCAATCAGAAATGGATTCGCATTGTATTTACTCTCAGTTAGGGGAGTCGGACCTCCTGCTAGCCCATGTAATTTATCCAACGTCAACTCTCTTTTTCTCGGAGTCTACTGGGTCCTTTTTCATCCGGTTTGTTTTGTTGGATTTCTGACACCCTTTAAAAAAATAAATCCAACACGGGGGTTTTCCAAAATTTTGAAAATTCGACTTTTTATGAATTTTTTAAATTCGGTAGTATTTTTTTTCAAAAATATTGAGTGTCCTCAAAATTTGAAAAATCAATTTATCAAGAAAAGCCTGTACTAAAGTGTGCAGAAGAGTACAAGGAATCCAAAAAAAAAAAAAAAAAAAAAAAAAAAAAAAAAAAAAAAAATGTGAAAAACCCAGTAGATTCTGAGAAAAAGAAAAATATGTGTAAAAAATTGTGATTATCGGGAATCAAGGGTTAAAGATTCAGCAAGACTTTTGGGGTAGGTATGATGAGGTTGGGACAACGCACGACCTCGACGCATTCAAATATTCTTTCTGCCTCAACTAATGGTCAGAAAGATTTTATCTTTGTCTCATCTTAATCCTGAGAGTAAGTAGAAAATAGTCGCGCAAAACACTGAAAATCATAAATTTTTCGATTTTTGAAAGTCCGACTCCTCTTTAGGGACTCTAGATAAACCTTAAGGCCACACTGAAAAAAAATCTCGGTGTATTTACTAAGAAAAGGGTAAAATTACCAAGAATTCAGGGTTCTATTTGATCCCAGTTTTTTCTTGGTAAAATTACCATGAATGGAATTGGTAATTTTACCGACAAATCTCCGTAAAATTATTGAACTTTCTCGGTAATTTTACTGGACCTTGGTAAAAACGCCAATATTTTTTAACGACTGTGGTAGAATTACCGAGATAAAATGGCAAAGTTACCGGGAATTTATTATCAATGAAAGTGGTATTCTCACCTGAAAAAAACAGTAAAAATACCGGTTTTTAGGTAATCTTACTAGTCAGTCTTGGTAAAATTACCAATAATTGGTAAAAAAGTGAGATGGTAAAGGTACCAACGGACCTTGGTAAAAATGCCGATAATTTTTTTTCAGTGCACGTCGAAAAATTGCTGACTCCAAAATGTACCTTTGATAGCTTCTCAGGGGTTTTCAAGTGCAACGGACCGACTTCAATAACGTTGGGGCTTAGCGCTCTAGGGTAGTAGTATACTGGGTTATTGGCGACTAGCGCCAAACTGACGTTAGACCAGCATCCATCCGCAAGCTTCTCAGACCCTGGACCATACATCTCGTTGCAATACCTTTTAACAACCGTCTCCTCTGCTTGCTCGAATAATGACCATAGGTAATAGTTCGAGAACCAATTTTCGATTCTCTGCCACAGGCTCATTTTGTCAGTGTAATCGTTGTACACGGACGGTGCAAATGACAGGTGTGCTATGCTCCCTATATTGTTCTCGACGAGGAATTCTGTCGATATTGAGTGCAGTGAAATGATTGGCGCAGATCCGGAGTAAGTTCGGGATAGGACGCAACCGAACGGGACGAAAAACATTTCCACTATGATGAGATCGAACTTGATTCTCTCCTTTTCAACGCGACTGAAACAGAATGAAAACCGGGAGAAGTGGACTGTAGATGCTGTGTTTTCATGATCAAGACATTTTCAGAAATTTAAATAGAGAATTTGCAGGTGTCTGAAATTTGATGAATTTCGTGTTTAAGAGGGAACTACTGAGTGAACTGAACACGAGGATACCCTCAGTTCATGGATTGAAAATTATTGGAGAAGATATGACAAAATGATCTAATCTGCTATAATACGTGTGTTTAAATGGGAAATGCCGCCATATGACGTCACTAGGCGGTGCATTTTTTCACTTTTAAATCTATTTATAAACTATTTTCCAAATCAGAAAAAATTATGAAAAATAGTGTGAAAGCAGCTCTTTAAGCACTTTCAGATGAAGCAATAAAAAAGTTGCATGCAAATGCTCCATTCGATGGAGAATTTGCATGCAAATTTTTTATCGCTCCATCTGAAAGTGCTTAAAGAGCTGATTTCTCAGTATTTTTTATAATTTTTTCTCGATACGGGAAATAGTATCAAAATAGATTTAAAATTGAGAAAATGCACCGCCTAGTGACGTCATCTGGCGGCATTTCCTATTTAAACACACGTATTTGAGCAGATTAGATAATATTCTCATAACTTCTCCAATTCATGAATCAAAGGTATCCTCGTGCTCAGTTTACTCAGTGGTTTCCACTTAAACACGAAATTCATCAAATTTCAGACACCTGCAAATTCTCTATTGCGAACAAAATGACCCTGAAAATTTAAAGAAAAAGATTCACAATTACCCCAGTAACTTTGATTTTTATTGATGAAAATATGGCAAAACCTGAAGGACCTGAAGGCTCATTATAGGCGTCCTTCTTCAGCATAGCAGAGTGGCACATGAGACAACTACTGCCGTGATAGCAAAGAGAGCAGTGAGTGCAAAAATGAAATTTCGAGAAGACGGGCTCAGAAGAGTCTGACTCGTAAATTTTCTTGAAAGTAGCTCTCGTTCATTGTCAAATTGCCACTAATCATCCAAAATACACTTAGACATTGTTCGGATGATTAAAAATCGACCAATTTTATTTCAATTACATTAAAAGGCTACTATTCATTTTCCATGTTAGGCGAGTGTCAGGCAAGGCAGCCGTAAAGTGCTATCCTCTGCATGGTTTCGAGGTTGTGTTTTGGACACACTACAAACACATTTTCTGGTTTACTTTACTTAAAAGCTCAGTTTTCACTGGCTCTCTGGAGGAATATTATCACTTACGGCTGTTTTGCCTGAAACTCCATGATTTTTTGCGCACTCACGGCTTTTCTCATACACTGAAAAGAAAGATTGGTAAAATACCATTTCTTCACGCTGTATTTCACACAGCGTCAATTCAGAGTCATTTCTGCCAGAAACAAGGTAATTGTTACTATATATACTGGGATAGGTAACCATTTCTCCGGCAGAATCGACTTTGAATTCACGCTGTGTAAAATACGGCGTGAAGGAATGGTAAATTCTACCATTTTTTTCCAGTGTATGTCTCGCTTTTATAAAATTAAGATGAATTTTGCTGTTGTCATAAAAAATGTAAGTAATAAAACGTGAAAGGTTTCGTCTGATATTGCTATAGGTTGATTGCGGTTGAATCCGTCCATGTAACATGCAGCCATAAAATTGTCTGATTAAATTCTTTGAGATCTAGGGATATTCAGGAAAAGTCTTAAAGTATCTCGTGAAACACGGTTAAGGCTAATTCTGGTGAATGTCGGAGGTACTATAAAGATAATTATTTTCTTTACACTTTCTTTTGTTACTCACCGCAGAAATTGCAAATGTGCTTCGCTGAGTAGCTGCTTCCTTCCTATATCAAAGTAGGCACTAAATTGTGAGGGAAAGTCCCACTTGGATATGTATTCCTGCATGTAATAAGTTTCGTCATCTTGTTTTTCATCCGAGAAATACTTATATGAAAATGAGACATCTACGAAGGTGTAGTTCCTATTCTCGTTCAATCCCTGGAAGAAATTAGAAAACTTCGTGAGACATCGGGTGTATAGACCACGCGAAAAACCCCATATTAGATCAGACTTTTAGGAGCCGCGGACGACGGAATACGAAATCAGTGGCAAAGCGTGAATGATCGATTATCGATACTTCCCCATTTGAAGCTATAGTAAAGTATCGAAAATTAAGGCGTTCCTTGCGAACTCCCTGTTTATCGATCTTTATCCATAGGTTTAAATGGCAGATCAATCGATAAATTGCAAAGCACGCCACGCCACTATATAAAATATCTTTTGAACAGTAGTATGGCCACAGATTTGACGTTTAAAAAACACCCGGTGTATATTCTGAGTGAAAAAATTAAATTTTAAACAGAGGACGCCGACGCTTAATCTAAATTTTTGTACTTGCACTTACCCTTCATATTTTCTTGTCAAGACATTAATGGTCTAAGATGCTGAGTGTCTTCTTCGATAAAATTAACGAACTAACTTTTTTTCTTCTCTTTCTTCAAACGGCAATCCCTTGTCTTGTAATGCATTGATGAAAAGAATACAAAGAAGGAAAATGTATGCAAACTTAAAATTTTTATTTCAAAATAGTTGCCGGTCAAAATTTGTTACAACTTAGCGCTGCATTCCCATGAACACGTTTCATTAATTTAACATTCATTGAAAAGTTGCATTCAACAAACAATATTGCACGCATAATTGAGATGTTGCATGTGTGAGGAATTTGCGATATGACTGTTGATTCTCATGTAAAAGTTCGCAAGAAACACGATGGTGCCACTGGTTTCTCCCAAGCTCCCAAGCTCATAAAAAGCTCTCATCCTGAGAGTCCACCTCTACATCAAGACAAACTCGCCATGCAAAGGTAGGGAGCAAATACATTGACAGGGCTGCCACTTTATTTGGGGACTCAGCAACTGAAAACACGGCAACCCTGCTAATGTATTTGCTCCCTATCTTTGCATGGAGAGTTTGTCTTGATGTAGAGGTGGACTCTCAGGATAGCATGGGATATCCCCTCCATTTTGGCCTCACCTTGAGAGCTTTTTTTAAGCTTGGGAGTTGATTTCAGAGGAAACCAGTAACACCATCGTGTTTCTCGCGAACTTTTACATAAGAATCAATAATCAAAACGCAAATTCCTCACACATGCAACACCTCCATTGCATGAAACTGTAATTTTTTTCATTTTTAATGCTCCTTTTTCACTGCGTAAAATCCCTGCCAAAGTAAAATTCACAGATCTTGTTGCGATGAAAAAATAGAAAGGAAGGTCATTTAATCGGCTGTTATTGGAAACGCGCATGCTCGCCATCTAGTCTGCCGTACTAAGGAAAAACGCCGTATGAACATTCGAGAGTTGCCAAATTTCCTTCGATAAAATGTTTATTTTTGAGTACATTTATGAATATTTTGCCTTGAAATTTTCAGGAACTATAGGTGAAATTGCGAGCAAAATTATCTGAAAAATTGGAAGAAAAATATTTATAAATGTTCCCGAAAATTCGTGATTTATCAAAGGAAATTTTGCAACGCCTGAAGGTTCATACGGCGTTTTTCCTTAGCATGGCAGTAGTGCTCTTGTGCTTTTGGATCCCTCTAGCGGCGGCCTCCAGGGGGTGCATCGGGCATGATTCGGCGACGACTCAAAATGAGGGGGTGAGGGGGTGGTGGTCGTTCAACGGTCCTCGCGATATGCTGGATATCCGTTCTTGTGTACGCGATTCTCAGCGATGATGAGCGCCCGCTCCGAGACCGGGCCCGCATGCTGCGCCGTGGGGACGGAATAACTTCACCGCACTTGAAGGTGCATTTGCGGATGTTGCGTTGGGGGCTGATGCCCCTGAGACACACGGCGGGCCCTTCAGCGAAGAGGCAGGAGAGCTGTTCTTCTGCGGGGAGGCGCCGAAAATAGATGAGGGCCCATCCGCAGATCTTATCGGCATCTGTCTGGAAGACCGGTTCGTTGAGTGGGTTGGGGAGGTTACGGCAAGGGTCAAAATTGGCTACGTTCCAAATATACGCACGGTACCGGTCTGCGTTTGGGTCCCATCCGCCGTTGTCCATCTAGAGTAGACAGGATGGCAAAATTTCATGATGAAATTCCACTCGGAATATTTCATGGAATTTCAGAAAGGGGTTAGTTGCGCACTGGTCACATCGCGTTTTGATAGTTCGGATTGCACTGAAAAAAAAAAAGAGAAAAAAACTCCGGCCGTGGGATCCGCAATTACGGGCTTTATAGACATACCGTCCGTTTCGGGCTCAAAGGCCGAAAATTCTGGCTGCTGGAGCCGTAGCTTCGGCCTTTGAACCCGGAGCAATCGAAGCTACGCCTCCAGCAGCCGGAATTTTCGGCCTTTGAGCCCGGAACGGACAGTATGTCTATATAGCCCATAATTGCGGCTCCCACGCACACTGTAACGAAATGGGCAAAAGGTCGGACATGGGGGTGTCGCTAATTTTGGATCCGGAGTGGGCATGAAGTGTTCCTAAGGGTTCATACTATACGAATCTAGCATGTATTTTCAATTTTTTCCCTCCATTTTTTTCCTAGAGCTCCTCAAATGTGGCAGATTCCGCTGTTCCTGAAATTGTCACACTTCGTCAAAATTGTTTCGACCCTTGTATTTTGTTGTGCCGTTATTGCATGTAAATTTTGATGCCTGAAACTTATTGTTGAGACTCTGAGGAACATTTTTCACTGGTAATAATTGAAATTATGTCAAATCTGAAGGCTGCCACGTAACTCTAAAGTTACCTACTTCAAAAAGATGGACATTGAACTTTAAGCAAGCTTTCAAAAAATTCACCGCATTTCACCGAAAAAGTAAGCATATGGCGTGCTCAAGTAATCCTTCGAGAATGATAATCAGCCATATTTGGCTGCAGATAGGCGCAGATTTGTGAAATTCTTTGATTTTCGTCTGAAAAAGCCAGACGTCACGAGTGGGTCTCTCTCCGTCAAACTCTATTCGACCCTTATATTTTGTTGTGAGATGAACCCATGTAAATTTTGATGCTTGAAACTTATTTTTGAGATTCTGTAGAACATTTTTCACTGGTCACAATTTAAATTATCTGAATGCTGAAGGCTACCACGTATGTCCAAAGTTACCCGCTTCAGAAAGATGAAAATTGAACTTTAAGCAAGCTTTCAATAAATTCACCGCATTTCACCGAAAAAGTAAGCATATAGCGTGCTCAAGTAATCCTTCGAGAATGATAACCAGCCATATTTGGCTGCAGATAAGCGCAGATTCGTGAAATTTATTGAATTTTGCAGACGGCACAAGGCATCCTGCAAAAGCGTACGTAGGGACGTCCCTCCTAAAAAATTGGAAAATGTACAATTGTTCATATATATTGTATGGTTTTAAGACCAGCATTCCTCTGCCCAAGATACCTAAATTATAACCCCCCCCTCGGTATAAGCTTAGAGAAATTTGTCTCTCTCGAAAGCAAATATCGCAGGTTGCTAAATGCGCTTAATCCACTGCGACTTTATCCTAACTGTTACTAGACCATTTATTGATGACTGCCATGCCACCTGAATCTGGCATCCAAAACAATCGAAGAGATAAATGCATCAAATAATCAGTTTTACATTAAACAGTTGTATATGGTTGATAACAACAATAAAAACGCAAAAATCTTAATCGCAAAATCTTAAAACTCTTAAGGCTACTGCACTTCTAGCCCTTTATCATAGCAATAATGACAGTGACATCAACTTCGAAGAGGACCTTCTTGAAGAGATTTAGAGGAAGCAGAGGAATCGATGGACGATGGCGGAACGGACGACAGCGAATAAGATGATTAGATATTCTTTCAATACGTTCTAATTATTCCACTTTGAAATAACTGCACAGTAATCATATATATTAAAGCATAATTTTATTGTATCCGATTCTTCTTCCTTAATGTTGATCTGATGTAATGTTTGCGTCGATGAATCGATAAAATTATGGTCAAAATCGAATTCTACGATAAAAATACTTCAGATTATGTGAAATTTAACTTGGAATTTTGGAAAAGGGAGTGAAGTGGTTGAGAGAAACTGGGGAGAAAATCTACGAAAACACCTTGATTCCTATTATCCTGAGCAATACTTCATAAAAACACCCAAAAACATGCATTTCCGTGTGAAAATCGGCCAAACTAAGGTCAAAATCAGATTCTGCGATGAAAATGCTTCGGGAACTCATAGTTTGGACCTGAAATTCCATAAAGATCCAAGGATATAGCGGAAAGAAGTTGCGGAGGAAGTCCATGACCGGGCAATCCTATGTTTCGTTACAGTGTGCCACGGCCGGAGTTTTTTATTCAGTGGGTGCTCATCAAGAAGAATACCCGTTTTATTCAGTGGGGCATGTTATTCTCCTCTCCTCCTTTTTTATACTCAAATTTATCTTGTAGCTTTTTGAGATTCTTTACTCAATTAAAATCAGTAATTAATATTTTGAAAATATTATCTAGATTAGTTTATCTTTGATTTTGTTTTAAATTTTTTAGTCTAATAGATTTTTTTGGAGAATGTGCGGTGAATAGAATTAGTGTTGTTACGGGTAAAATATGAGTTCAGTTAAATTTAAAGCACTATGTAACATGATTCCTCTTCAACATTTCTCAAGGAAAACGAATCACACAGCAGGAATATTGGAAATCCTCTCTATTCCAATAAAATCATTTTTTAGACGCTCCTGGGGTGAGGAAGGGGAGTAAGAAGAGTAAGAAGCGGTCTTTGGGGTTGGGCAGCGTAGTGGCCAGGGGGCGGTTCCCCCTAGTTAACTCCTAAACAAGATATGAGTGTGAACAAATAACATTCGCTGAATGACAAAAAGACAAATGACGTCATTTGTATGATCCAACTTCCATTTGAATCTGCGTTTAATCAAGTTGATTTTCAAACTACACTTTGTATAAATTTTTTTTTTTTTTTGTTTCTTTTTCTTTTGGGGTGAACTTTCCGTTGTCCCGTTGTGTTTTCCCGATATTTA